AGCATAATTGCATGCATAGCTGCTCCCTGACCTGGCTCTGTCAAAATGAATGCAGCTGAGCTTAAACACCTCTTTTATAGTTCTTGGGGGGCTTTTGTTTCTGCTTTTAGCGTGTCAGGACTAGGTTAGGGAGCAATTAAATGTGCAGCTATGTTGGCAGATCTGAGGGGGCAGCTGGATCAGAAGCAACACATCTGACCATGCTCTAAACAAACATCTGTCCAAAGCCTTAGTCAAACAGATGTGGAGAAAAAAAATGTCCCTAATAAGTCTGGAAGTGAAAATATAATTTATGGGAAACTGCATGTATCAAATTTTCTTCTTCGAAATGCAATCACTAATTTATGAGATTATAATTTTCCATAGTCACACATGAAGTATCTAGTAGATACTTCAGGAAACCAGTACATACTTTAAATGGATAAATCCATGCAAGCAATTATTTTTTGTTCTGTCAGGACACTGCTGGCTGCACAGGGTTGTGAACAGCTTGCACCAACTTGAACTGAGGATATGCTAATCAGCTCTGCATGTTGTTACTAATAAAAATTGAAAACCTTTGGTTTCAGACTGCAATTTTACATATGCTATAAAGCAGATAACTCAGTAATGCTACAAACGCATTGCAAATTTCTTGTCCTGTGACCCTGGCTGCATTTTTCCAAGCCCATTTCTTGTGCTAGCAACAAGATTTTGCAAAGACACAGTAAGAATTGATGCAGCCTCCCCCACTCTGATGGGGAGGTTCTGGACCTGTTTCCTAGGCCCCTTCACCACAGGGCAACACAAATGCTGATGCTGGCAAAAGGGGAGCAAAGGTACAAAGGGAGGAACAAGCAATCAGAAGTATCAGTCAGTCAAAGGTGCTTCATTTGGCAGCATTGCTGGTCTAAAATCTACATAAAACTGCCTCTTCAAACCAGCTTCTGAAAAAAAGATTATTTAAAATCCAGATGATGTAAAAAACTGAATACATTGGTCTACAGGAGAAAGAGGATTTATACTGCTTTGATTCAGTTATTGCTGTTGTGTAGATATCTTAAGATACACAGTAGTAATAACCAAGCAAAAAGCATTTCCTCATTCCATTCTCATGGTCAACACTTCAGAGAAATCTAACTTCCTCTGTCTCAAAAATCAAAGTAAATAATCTATTCAGATTGTATGTTCTCTTTAGAAATTAAGAAGCTCATTGCAGACTTGATTGACCAAACTGTGTTAGACATTATATATATGAACACTCATACCCTGTTGAATTGTATTGCAGAGCTGAACACTAAAAATAGGCAACTGAGCACGAACATAAAGAATGGAGACTTTCCCAACTAGTTTGAAAATGTACCTACCTCAGTTATCCCCCAAACACTTTTTTTGATTTGATTTATGTTCTGCTGCTTTAAAAGAAAAAATGGGTCAATATGAAATAATGCACATACTTGTATAGTAGATATTTATACCCAAAATAAACTTTCTCTTGGGAGAATATTTTTACAGCAGCATTTAAAGTCTCCTGGCAATGGTTAGCTAGAAAAGTTATTTATTTATTTAAAATAAAAGTTCTCAGAAATTTTTTAACCACCAACATTTAGGATGCTGGGAATAAGCTTACTAATTCAAGTTTCTCCCTTTCCCCCAAATTACTTTTCATTGCATTTAACATTTAGTATTCATACATGCAGAGGAATGCATAGTATGCATTAAGGCAGAGAAAATTATATTCAAGAAATGTATGGGCTATTTTATAAGAGATGATGTGTACATACAAAGCAATTCAACTTACTACATGCTGTTGAGTCTAATAAGCCTGAAAACAAAACACATTGCCTTGGATGATTAAACTTTTCCTCTTGCACCTACATTTTTAATATTTGGCATACAAATATCAACAATTTATGATTTGCACTTTCTCAACAACAAGGTATGAAACACTAAATAAATACTGTTTTCCCTCAAGATACACAATACTTCTGTTATACAGACTATGAAATGGAAAAAAATACTTAGAGGCTGAATCTGGTTTGTGACTCCTAATTTTTTCATTAAATGTAAAGACCTCTTTGCAATGACACATTTGAAGCTTCATTTTAACTAATAGACTGAAGCCCACCATTTTAGACTCAACCACAGATTTTTTTAAGGAAGTGGCAAACCATTGCTGCTAGTTGAGAAAATGAAAATTAGTCCCTAGGAGAGGATACAATCAATGGTGTGTTAATCTAACCTTCAGCTGTTAATGATTTGCACTACTATTTCCCCTGGTGCTGTGGGTTCTGCTGAAATATTGTTTTAGCAGTTACTGTCAGCTTTCCCTACCTTTTTTCTGCCTGAAAGGGAAAGACTGAAGTGAAAGTCTTAGCAACAGATTTTGCCTGTGCTATTTTTTCCCCTTTTTTTCTGACCCAGTTCTTTCACACCATGGAAGCACAAGACAGAATGCTAAACTGTTCTGGTTTTTTCAGTTCAAGCCTTTTTAGCCAGTCAGTTATTCACAACTCCTCTTACTTACAAAAGAGGTGTTACACTAAGCAGTCACCATTAGAATTGCGATATTAACATGAGATTAAATAATTTAGGAAGTCTGTATTTTGCCAGCTTCTTTCACATTGAGCCAAAAACCTAAAAGTTTTACGGGTCTCTTTTTTGGAATGAACTGAGGAGGGTCTTGTATTTCCAGACATGAGAACTGCGCAAGCAACCTGGAAGAGACTTCTGCTGGTGTAGCAATAAATAAGTGTACTGATCTTGCAGATTTGCCTGATCCTGCAAACTTTGAGTCCTTAAAGATCATTCTGTACACTCCGTTGAAACAACCTTGCAAAAGAAAACTCCATAGCCTGCAAGCCAAATTCTGCAAAGTACTGAGTGCCAAAATAATAAAAGTACTCAGCACCTTGCAAAGCTGCGTTCCACACACACAATGCTAGTTTTTTTAGCAAGCATTTCTTCTAGGAAAGAGTGTATCTGAAGTGTTTTAGTATTCTTAAAGCTGAAAGGCCTTGCAAAACCATTCAAATTTTCTTTACAGGTATCTCAGTCCCTTTAATTAATTTAGTTATGAATATTTCAGAAAAAAAAGGTATTTAAAAAAGTATTTAGCATGGTAAACGTATCAAGTGTAGAAAATTTGGATTAAGTTGAAGAAGCAACATTTGAACTATTTCAATATCAGCTTCCTGCACACTAGAAGAATCTGTATCAGAATTGTGTGTTGGTCCACACAAATCTAATGTATTGATAAATACTTATCACAGCTTAAAACATACTGAAAAGTTTAATGTTGCTCCTTTCAGATCATGATCACAAGCGATTAAGAGCAACAAAATGGTTTGAATACAGGTTGAACACTAGCTTCAAAAATAGCTTCACAAAATTCTCAAGTAACTTAGACATTAATTTATGTTTGAATATTTTTCATATTGAAAGCTCATGCCTCTTATTTTCCAATATTTGATGAGTTCCAGAGAGTGTCCTTAAAAGGTTTCATCCATGATATTTACTACTGATAACTAACATAACCATCAGAAATTGTCTTTGTACCGAATGGACCTTGTCAAAACTTTTATTGATTAGAAAGCTTAAAAAAATTAACTAAATGTCTAACATTCAATAGATTATAATGTGGGTGTTTACACATTTCAGAAAATGAGTGCTACTAGCCAGAAGGGCTAATTTTAATTTTTTTTTGTTGCTGTGCTCTTTTAATGTATATTTATCAAGAATCTGGATTGAAGGAAAAGATTTCTAGTAAAATTTGCAATGACAAAAACCAGGGATCTCTAAGCAACAAAGACAACATTTCATGGATTCAGGCTATTTCAGGAGGACCAAATGTATAATCCATGTATTTCTATATGGCCAAATATAAGAACATAGTGCCTATGAATGAGGAATGTAAGCCTCAGAATCCAAAAAAGTATTCCGGGATGAAGAATGGCTAAAGGATCTGGGATATATAAAGGGAAGAACAACCAGCAGAAATAGAGAACAAATGACTTCATTATTTGGCACTGATGTAGTAATTTCTGAAATATGGAGTGCACTTGAGACATCAACACTAAGAAGGCTGAAAAACCACAGAGAATTCAGAAAAAGAACTGCGAGAATAATTAAAAAACTTGCAAATACACCATATAGTCAAGCTCAAATAATAAAAACTTTTCTTCATATAATGAAGAGATTGTATACAATTTGATGGTCATCTGCGAATTCATACATGGGGAACAGAAATGTAATCTCATCCGAAAAGATGTAATAAAATCTATCATCTGGAAGCTCATATCATACAAAGGCAGATCTCAAACATGATATTCCTTACAAGTAATTAGAGCTTCTGAAAAACACTTGGAGGTATTTATATAAGGAATTTGCTATATTCCTTCTTACTGGAATCCACAGTTAACCCACTGTGGCTGTTTGTTTAAAATACAAATCTGTTCATTGAGAACTAATTCAGGTAAATCTTACAGCATTTATATCGGAGAGTAGATTGGATGGTCATGTTTCCAACAATTCTTCAATTCCATTGAAGTCAAACACAAGATTATGACGGCATTCAAAGAACTTTGGATCACATGCATATTCACAATTCTATCAATCTGGTTATATGCACAGAATTTTGTTTTTAAAGGCTAATGAAAATAATAGACCTGGTTTGTCAGTTTTGTTTTATTATCTTCTTTCTGTATTTCAATGAAAGAAAACTCAGATTTTAACATATAGTCTAATATAAGATATGGTCAAGTCAGCTGAAATCCCAAAATTGGCAAAAGGTGACAGCCAGATGAACAGAATCGCAGCTGAACAATATTCTGCAAATATCGTATTTAGCCTTACAGATTAGAAAGGCTTTACACACTTTGCTAAAATTAAGTTGCATAAAGAAAGATCCAGATGCCTTGTTTAATCATTTTGGGTTATCAGTAACAACTTCAATATATAATTCTCTTTTCTTCCTTCTTAGTGATTAAAAAGCAATCTCAAGATTGTATACATATACTTACTCTGGCAGTCGAGACAGGATACCTAAGGAAAGAGAACTTATGCCATCATTAATCCGACCCGACAGTTTACGCTTCTGAATCCAGCTGACAGCAAATTCCAGCCCAATAAAAGTAATGAAGAATGGAATACTCTGAAAAAAAGTTTGAAACAAAAGAAGTCACAACACAAATAAAATTAGTTACACCTTTCCAGCAGCAGTTTATGCAGCCAGATGCTTCTCAGATTGGCTGGCACCTTACTAGCTACCACTGTGATAAAGCTCTTATAAATCAGAACAACCAAAGCTACCATTTAATCCATAACACCAGCATAAATTCATTGCAGCAACCTCCAACCACATAGTTTTCTTTTGTATATTCTGCACATGAACTGTTAAAAGGTATCATAACAAAACACAAAAGTCTTTCCAAACTCATATTTCTCATATTCAAGTGAATCAACAAGGGCAGTAACGTTTGTGGGTTTCTCTAACCACAAGGTAGAACAGAATCTGGTTTTTATTTGATATGTACAAAGTTTTCTGAATGTGTTCAGCCTCTGAACTTGGCATCCAACATTATTATCTGAAAGGCATAGTAAAGTGAGTTTATTTCTACTCAGCATTTCTGTTGCCATGCTTTTTCCTTCAAACAGCAGCAGCTCTTCCATATGCGTTTTCATCAGAGAACCCAGTTACTATGCAGCCCATTCCAATTTGTGCAATACAACATGTCTTCTTTCCAGAACAAGTAGCAACAATATAATGTTCCCCTTTTTTTTTTGGATTGTACTGACTATAAAATAATTTTCTGGCTTTCTGAACAAAGTATAATGATGAGCAAGACTTAAACATTTCTCATTCAAAACTGTTTTAGTTGAGGATTCAATTCTCACTGTCCATCTTGCACCCCCAACCAACTGGTAAATTGAAAATGCACAACAGCAGCACCCAGTAGTGGAAAGTGTAGCTATGGCTAGTAGTAGCACTGGTAACATTTTAGTGACATCGTTTTTTACCAGCAGAGGAAGACTCTTAGACCTGTTCTCAAATTTTCATCATCACAGGCAACAAAAACAAAAAAGCCTTGAGTAACAGTAATTGGTAGAGCATATACTCTTTTTACTAACAATGGAGTCCTAGCAGTCCTTGTACTTCCTGTGTGGAAGGAATGACAAGGCAGTGGCAGCATATTAGCCACTGCCACGAAAATCTAGAAGGCAAAGAAAACAGAAAGGAGTTATCAGATCTCCATGTCTGCGAATGTTCCTTCAACTGCCTCCCTCGCTCTGTAGAAAGTTCTTAGGTGACCTTTGAAACACTCAGACAATTGCTTTTTCACTATATTAAGGCAAAAAATTCCCACCATGTTTTGTAGGGCAAGAGAAATGCAAGAGCAGCAAGACGTTCTGCACCTCTGTGGGAGGCACCACATTGCCAAACTTGACCTATTACTCTTCTACTGCTTTTGCCCTCTTCAAATGACCTGCAAACACATACAGCTTCACTGACTGAAACCCTCCAAACTGCACTGCTGTAGGAGAGAGGCTGCTACTGCCTATACAGCATTTTAATGGAAGAAGCATATTGCCTGTGCAAATGCCATTGCATTTTGGAGGGTGCTCATTTTTTGTTGCCAAGTGAGATATGATCTGGGAATTCCTACCAGGCTGGGACACTAAAGAGACTAAGATGGATATAGACCAGATTGCTCAGTCAAAGAAGAATTGGATGATTCAAACCATGCAAGCAGCAAGAGATTTATGGCATCTAGGAAATGTGAAAGTTCATAAACTTCAGCAGCACAGGGTTAGGTTACAATAACAGATGAACAGAGATTAATATCAACATGACACTTTTTAATTTAGGTGCCTAGCTTGCTCTGTTACAGCATTTTAGGCGTATAAAAGCCTGTTTGTGGTATGTACTAACTGATAATATAAAAAACTCAGAAAGCAAAGGAAGACCTATGCATAAAGCCTAAACAACACCCAAGAAAACCAATGTGGTAAATCTTTCAATATTTGAAATCAGTAATAAGGAAAGAAATAAAAAGAAATTCCATTACCTTCCATTTGAAATCAATTAAGCATTCTAAGAAAATATAAATACTTCTTTGTTTTGCACTATCTAGCTACTTCATTTCTGAGTAGAAAAGACTTTTAATGTACTTTTCTTAATTGATATCATCAAAGAACAGATTCCTAATTTATCAAAAAAGACTGATCACCACAGCTGTACATTCCATCAGAGAAAAAAATATTTAATAAGAAAAACTAAGAAACACTTGACCACAGTATTAGGAGCCTGGTCTAACACAGACTACAAACAGTTTGAAGGTATGAAACAGCAGAAGCTGCACAGCAAATGCAATGGGCTCAGGACAGAAAAAGTGGGATGCTTTTTTCACTAAATGAAAACAGTTAATGGGAAATGTACAATGTCTGTATTCTATGCGATGATTCACTTTCCCCAGCAATCTCTGAAACAGTTAAAACACTTGATTTTATACTAATACACATTATTATAACTCCTTTCTCATTGACTTCATTAAATATTTTCTTCCCACTGTGAAGCTGTGAAACAGCCAAGCATTTGACAGCACTTTTTGACTCACAAATAGGTAGTGTCATAGCAAGGAGGATAAAGAAACATTCAGACAGCCTTAACCTCCTGCCCATCAAGGAGTCTGCAAAAGGAAAGACTTATGGCATACCCCTTACTATCTAAGAAATGACTACCTGTCTACCATACACTGCATTAAGCCTTGCCCAAAGCAGATCAAAGGGATGAACTACGTCAAGGCCAGTAGGTATTATTTATGTGACCATAACATCTATTGTCATGAAGCAGGATCATACTGTGTTAGATGCAGCACAAACAGAATGAAAAGGCATTCCCTGTCCCAGAGAGCCTACTGTGTAAGGATAAGAGGTAATACAACAGAAGGATACTGCAAGTAATTCAGGAAAAAAGGAGACAGTAAGAGAGAAAATACTCTCACCAGCCCAATCACTACTTTTTTTTTGCTTCAAATTAAAATGGTAGTGAAGTCATTTAAGAACCTGTTGAGATGGGTAGCTTTGCAACAGTTTTCAACAGTTGTCCCTACAAACAAAATGGCACAAAGTTAAGAAATAGCCACTGTTGGCATCCCAGGTCAGAGAAGCCAGATACTTTCGGTTATCTTCTCTCTTTGTTTCCAGTTGTTGGTTTTTTTTTTTTCTTCTCCCATCACCAGAAATACTCAACGGAGATTTGCATTAGGTTGTGGCTTACTTGAATGACTGATCCGTAACCTGAAAGCCTTACTCTGAGCACTTAGTAAGAGGGGTTCAGAATGCAAATGACCATTTTAAATCAGTTTCTGCTTTATACTGTTGCAAAAAAAATAATATTCTAAGTTGAAATGCAGCATACATTCATAGTTTTATTGCTTTTCTTGAAACAGTTTCTATTTTCTTAAAGTCCCAGATTCTTATAACATAAGATTCTCAACTTCCAAGTAAAACTAAATATGAAGGTTCTGTGCCTCATTATTTAGAAGCAAACCCTAAAATGTGAATTGAGTTTAAATGTGAACTTAGTCTTTAGGCTCTCAAGAGAGTAAATAGAAAAGAAAAAAAATATTATTAAATTGAAATTAATTTCATTTTGGGGTTGAAATTATGAAAATTATGAATGTATGGTTCATGAAAACTATATTTGGCAAAAAAGCAGCATTCCTTATGCCTATCTGTAGATTATGAGAAAATTAAAAAAAAAAAAATTAAAAAAAAGCAACCAAAAACAATCAACAGAGCAGAGTCTAATCTTATACCCATACAAAAAAGAGTGCTCTTAAAAGGAAAAGGCAAGCATCAGTATAGTTTTGTAAGTCAGAATGTTCTGCCCTGCAGAAGGAAAATCAATATACTCTCTCTTCTCAGAAATAAGGGAAAATCAAGGGGTTTGAATTCTACATTCACATTTTGCCACATTTATGTGACAAAAACTCACATAAAAATAAATTCTATTATGATAATCCAAGATTCAGACCCCTTTTCCCAGAATTTTGAAGATTAGTTGAAAAGGTGACTTCCCTGGGTGCTGCTGCAGAGCTTTTCTACTTCTCACTGGTAGCAGCTGATCCGCTCATGTTTGAAACAGGACTTGGGGCCTTCACATTCAACTCTGCCAAGATACAGAGCACAATGCAGGGACCAGGAGCTGTCCTGCCTCTGAAAATGGAAGTAACATAACCACAGACAGAAAGTACACTGCATAAGTTAAGCTAACGAAACCATTGTGTTCCGATAGTCAGAGCTGCTTCACCCACTGCTGTCATTCCCTGCCTAGTTATAACAGCACAGACTAAACTCTAGCTCTAAGCAGCCACTCCGACAAAGTGCATATATTTCCTAAACCTCCCAAGTGCTCAGTTTTGCAGATCACTAAACCCATGAATATTTGAGTGAACTACCAGGTTCTGCCACCTGTCTATTTTTGGAAGGTGCAAACCCCCACAGCTGTAGCCATGTGATCTACTGTACTAGAAATACTCTCATCTGTCTAATATACATGACAGATCACAGATCCAAGATGCAAATCCATCTTCTATACAGTGTCTCAGGAAAATAAAAAAAAAAAAATAAAAATAAAAACCCACACACTACTTAGGAGATGCAAACGTAATCAGTAGTTTGTTTCACACATGCATCATCATGATTGTTATTTTTAAAAAGTGTGAATTAATTGAGCTGAGGCCTTCATTTAATATCAGGTCTACACTAGAATTGTTTTTTTTATTCTGTGTAGGGTTGATCTCAAACATCCACTTGTACCAACCTCCATCTTTACCAACTCAAGGGGTTACCACTCCAAGCCCTCCTTGAAAGGCTCATCAGTTCACTATTAAATCTATTCCTGATGATTCCAATGGATATGCTGCTCTTTCAATTGTTCCTTAAACAGTCAAAGAAAAGCAGCTAGAGAAGGACTGTAGATAGTTACCTTCTGCCCACAAATATGGCCAGAAGAGGAAGGATGAGCACTGTCTAAGCTCAAACCAAAGCCATAGAGTTAAAACAGTTATATCCCTAAAATACTTCCATACAAGCACATGACCAAGCTTCAAAATATCTGTTCTAGTAACAAACACACTGGCCAGGAGGGAAATCTAGTACAGCTAACTCAAGATAGGAATTATACGGAAGTATAACTGTACTGGGAAACCCATTTTTAGTGCAGTTTTTTGTGAGATACTCCTTTAAAATGTATCACAACAGTGCTCTACAACAGCATAAGTCTGCCGGCACTTTTATAATTCAAACGAGTATTAAGAATCCTTACACAAACTTACAGGTATGTGCCCAGTATAAGAAATTCTATGTTTGGCCAAGGTCTGAGCTTAATATTTCACACAGGAGAGGAAAGCCCAGGGATGTTAAGGAATGCTGCTGACAAGAAAGTGAATGATACTCTTTTGGAAATGTGGGAGCAGTAAAAGGGACTGAGATAGTAGATAAGAGCTGGAGGGAGATATCAGCTGACAAGGCAAAACCATCAAGCTCTAGAGTCTTCCTTGACCATGACGCTGTAGATTAGTTGCAAAACACCTCTGAGGACAGCAGTCCATCGACCAGACACTGCACGCACATGCTGAGCTTGCAGCAGCTGTCTGCTTACCCTATCCAAAAGGGCAACCTTTGCTGATAACATCCATCAGTGAGGGGCCGCTGCATACTACAATTCCGAGAAAGCTGCTGATGGTGTTACACTGCCCAACCCCGCAAAACCCATGACACCCCCATTGCAGCCTGACAGCAGCTGCTGCACAGCAGTCCAAGGTACACCTGGCAGAGAAGATAGACAGAACTACGAAGACCCATGTAAAAAGTTCAGATCTTCAGTGAAGCTGGGCTAAATTTTCTTTGTCAAGTGCAAAATAGTGTTTATCTGCGGTTTCTGTGAACAGCTGACATCGATCTGGGTTCAGCAGGAGCTGACTGTCAAGATATGTACAATAGACACGACTGAACAGAGCAAAGGTACCTTCTTGGAAGTGAATAAACTGGCAGGGCAGGAGCAGAGGGAGAGATATGCTGCTGCCTGCTGACAAGGGAATTCTCACCCCTGACCTCTGTACTCTTGCATTGGAGCTTTAGGACACAGCACTGTTCCAGCACAAATATTTGTTCTAAATTCTCTTAAACAATCTTTATTTTTTATTTTAAATAGAAACTTTTTATTTTTCTTTCTTTGACTGAGCTTGTACTACTTGCCTTAAGCGCTCAAAGAGACCTGACTTTTTGCTTGCTATAAGAACGGTAACAGCCAAACATAGTATCATGTTTTCTGGTTTACTCATTTCACTTTGCTGTCACTGTTCAGCTTGTCAGTGCTGATGGATATAACATTAACATCAACCCTCCGATATTTGGGGTGCTTCTCTGAAAACTTTAGCTCCTGGTATCAGGAGAAAGCAGCTGAGCCTTCATTTAAAATACATGAAGATAAGGGGCACGGTTACTCTGGCAGCTTATAGGCAGAAAGCCCAGGAGTGAAAGCCGCCAGAGAAACACGAGGTATTTAATTTTCACTTAGGTGCCCTTTCGCGGACATCGTTTCTTTGGGCCGGCTGTGGTTTTTTACAGAGGCGGAGGTGGGCGGATGGGAGGAGGGCGAGGAGTGCTGCCGGGGGTGGGAGAGGAGGGGACTCTTACCTTCTCCACGTAGTCGGGCACCTCCTCCAGCGAGCGGAAGGAGCTCTCGCCGGGCGGCAGCGCGTAGAAGAGGGCGCGGAGCTGCTGGCCCGGCGTGGGGTCCCGCGGGCCGCCCGCCTCGCTGCCCGCGGCCATGGCCCGGCCGCGCTGCCCCCGCTCCGCTCCGGGTGCGCACAGCGCGGACCGACCGACAGACGGACGGACCGACCGCCCGCCCACCCACAGCACCGCAGCGCTCGGCCCCGCGGCCTCGCCTCCTCACCCCGTGGAGCTGCGGGCTTAAGGGCTTCTGTGGGGAAAGCCTCCCGTTTCTTGTTTCTCTGCATCGTGCTGTTTTGGAGGTTTGCTTGGCATTGGCGTTCTTTTTTGTGTCATCACTACCTGGCCCGCTTTTGGAAGTTGAGAAAGCCCCAGACACACCTTCCCTGCCCACTGCACACCCCAGCTCCCTTTGTACCCTCAAAAATGTCAGAACCTCAAAAAACAGCAGAGCTCAAGCTCTCCTTTCTCAATTTTACACATATTTCCACACAAAAAAATAAAAAATATTGCTCAGGTTTTGACTTCTGCATAAAAATAAAATGTTAAGCATTTTGAGAAAAAGGCCGTGGTGTGCTTTGTTGGCTCCTTTGTTCAACTGTATGGGCCAGTCCAGCATTCTTCACGCTAAAACAATTTATTTTGTAATAGGGCTTATCACAGCTCAATTTTATGCAGTTCAATTAACATGACTACACTGAAGGTAGCCTGTAGAAGCCATCAATCCTGCTCTCATTTACAAAGAAATTAAAACTAGGGAAATACAAAGAAACAGTGAAAACAAATGCATGCTAGTTCCTTATAGAAAATTACTTTTAGAAATGGGAATAAGGACAGGTTTCTACATTCAGCGCTTTCAATCTGAAGCTAAGGAGCATGTCAAATGTTTGTCAATCACACTTGACGTTTAGTGTTAGTACAAATAATAAGCTTTGTGATAGATTAGTCAGAAATAAAAATGAAATGTCCCAACAATTCCTTCATCTCAAATGTTCAGTTTTGCTTACAGTCAGCCGAAGAAATGGACTGTAGATCCTGCTGTTAAGGATTTTACCACAATTTAAATTCTGGCAGTAATTAAATTAAGAAAAACATTTTACTTTGAATCAACCCTTAATTTTGGAAAGGAACTATGCCAGATAATTTCAGCTGAAGTAAAGCAGGGATATCAGAAAGTCATTGGACATACCAATAAAATATTTTACTTTAGACTGAGTAAGGCACAAGTATTGTAAAGTGGCATTGATGATGAAATAAAGTTGGGCATTCAATATATATAGTTTATACTAGTATTATGATATGAGGGGAAAAAAATAAAATTGAAATGCTTTATAATTGCATCCTAATATTCTCAACTTCACTGATTTATGATAATCTCACGTTCTTCTAGAACTCTAGTTATTAACTTCTAAAATATCAATCTAAATGAAAATTCAAAATTTACTCAAAATCACACAAATCAACAGCATTCTGACTGGATCTTCATTGCAAGCAGTGGTAGAAAACATTTGCCTGTTCATTTAAATTAGCTTTAGTATTTCTATGACATTACTCTCACATTCAAGCTCCTTTAACTCACCATAACCTCAGTCACACCCTCTCAGTAGGCTCTCCTGAGCCCTTCAGTGTTCTGGTGCTGGTGTTCATCTTGCTCCACCATCAGCTCACAGAGTTAAAAATGGCCTAAACTTAATCCCATAAAAATTGTTATCAGTGAACTGTATTGGGGGACCACTCTGGAGTAAGAACAATTAGCAGGGAAAGGGAGCCCCACAAGCCGAGATGCATTTCAGGTACCATGGAACCAGTACATCGTATCACACCATTCTGGTAAGATAATCCATCAAGTTTTTAGGACTTTCTACTTTCTTAAAAATTATTATTTTGGACCCTCATTTCACTGTAAGTTGTCACGCCAATATCACTGCACTGAAGCTCTTGCTTTCAAAACCAAAGGAAGGAATTTGTACTTGATCACATTTCACAGGGGAAAAAGATGGCTTGTGTTTTCCAGCTTGTATCCAAGGAAAAATAGCTGATAGCACTACAATAGCTACACCTCTGGTGAGGAGAAGAACAATTTTAAATCTTATCTGGAGCATCTATGAGTGTTTGATAGGCTCCAGTAGTCTGGCTTGACAAGTGTAGCAGCTTTGTCTACTTATGCCTTGAAACTTAGCATGCAGTTTTCAGTGCTCATTCTTTTTGCTGCTAAAGAAGAAAAAGAAAATAAAGCACCCAGGAATGTTCCTTTGTTGGAGGCATTAATCCTTTCCCAGACAATGCTAGCTCCATTCAGTGACCTTGCAGAATTTTTTTGCGAGAGTTACTTTTTTAAATTATTTTATTTCCTACAAAGAGTTAATCTACTTTTTTTCCTCTTCACTGCAACAAAAGAATAGAAAAGCTGATATTTCCCATCCTATACTACCATCAAAAAAACAGAGGGATGTTCTGTCTGGAGGCTGGGCTTCTGCTGTTGACTAGTAGATCATTCCAATAACTAAGGCAACAAAGGCCTCTGTTCTACTTAGAGGAAATTGGGAAGCTGGCCTAACATGATCTGTAGGTGGATCATATTTTGTTTTCTCTAAAGAGCTCCATCCCACCCACTCCATGAACAGAGAACGCCCAGAGTCTTCCTGTTTGGGTCTCTCTAAGCACTAAAGCAGCACTAAATAATAAAGTCATAAAGGGAATTAGGGCAGGTTGAAATTGGGATGGGCCATATAGTCTGCCTTGGCAGTCATTCACTGCAAACTGAATCATATCCAGAGTGGAGCTGGGCTTAGTATACTCTGTTTATGTGATAGTATCTTTGAATATAGAAATACTTTGTATGATGAGTACACTGTGACAAGCAGCTGTCAGAATAATTTTGTATCACCGTTCTGCCTATACAGCACCTATGCATGGCAGTGGATGACATTAGGGGAGCACTAAATGCATCAGCATTATTATAAAACTGGTATTACAGAATATTTGCAATGCTGTCTTTGTCAGTGATAAACCCTACATCATACAGTACCATTTAAAAAAAAATAGTCGTGTTTAATTTGTTGATATTATAAGCAATATGTATTAATGCACAGTTCTTAATAATAGCACACTACTGACTCCAAAGACCTGAAGACAATGATGTTTTGAGTATTAATAAACATCATGCTATGCACTTGGCCACTTACTGCTAACTTTCCATTTCTTCTGCACAGAACTGGTAATGACAGAAGAGTGTTCCTATATGATCATTCTAAATTATTTAATTCAGTTCAACTTGTTAGCAAAATCAATTTATTCAAGGGTTGCCAAGACGTCCAGCAAAAATAATACACCCTTTAGTGAGTCTGTTGGTGATAAATGTACGTACTAGTCTCACAATTTTATCCTCTTATGTTTGTTATAGCATCTATTCCTGATCCTATAGAAGGTTATTGTTCATTACTTTGTTTTTCTTGGTTTTTTTTGTTTAGAGGTTTTTTGGTTGGGTTTTTGTTGTTGGTTTGTTGGGGTTTTTTCAAAACAGTGGTAGATCTGCTATCTTCTTTCTCTTATGGAGAAAATATTTTTTAATTTTTTTTTATTTCTAAAATTCCTTATCTTCTTTCTTTTGTCACCTAATGTATTGACCTTGGGAATCATTTGCACCTTAGACTCTGGTCCCCTCCTTAGCTGAGCCGGATGCTGATTTTCTCCTAGAACATGTGTGGGTAGCACTGTTTTCTACTTCTTTGTTTTTAATTCCTCCATCATTTAGTTCATCCTAGCACTGAGACTGACAGGATTGCTCCATGAGTTTATTTCACAAACTCACATAGCAAGAAAGCAAGCCAGAAGATAAACAGTTTTATATTTCTCCACTGCTCTAGTGAACTAAGTGGCTAAAGAGAGTGTCCACAGAGTTCAGGAGTTGGCATGAAACCACAGGAGAAAGTGCAAGACCACACAGCTACAAAACTGAGATGGGAGAATGAAGTGGAAAGAGAACTTCTTCATTTCTGCAGCAGCAAGTTATTAGAGCAACTGAACAGTTCATGGAGTCACTGCCTCCTGTGCATTTGTCAAAAATATGGCTTTGGCAGGCTATCATATGTCAGCAGGGAACTACATCCAAACAGTTGATGCTTCCTTCACATCAGCACTTCAGTACCTTTGTTTCAAAGTTTTCCTTTTTTTTTTCCTCTGGAAAGTCAATCTCTACCAGGATGGAAGGATGGAATCTTTTTCTTTTATTTGCTTGTGCTGTATATACTGCATATTATGGGTTGGTATTGTTTGGACAGGAAAGTTCCCTGGTATTTCATCTTCTAGCTGCCACACCTGGATGGGGTCATGCGGCATCTTCTGGAAGGACAGGAGAATGGTGCTCTCCATGGGATCCACAAGGGACCATTGGTCTGCAAGGAAGCCAAGAGGGGATAGTTCAAGGGGTGTAGCAGATGAAAGATGTGCCATGAGATGAGGAGGCAGAGACCTGATCAGAAAGAGGACAAGAGTGGCCCAGAGCCACAGGAGGGAGGTTATCCTGGAGACAGAGGAGCTTTACAGAGGTTGCTGCAGAAAAGCAGCTGAGATTACAGGCTGAGACATATACTGGAAGTAATGGCTAACCCTATTAGGATACAGTGAGCAGCAGGAATTGGTATTCATGCTCTGTATTTTTATTAGTGCTCAGCAAAAAGCTCAGTGTTCTCTATTTTAGAAGCTACTTCAGTTTAAGTTTTTCTATTGTAGTAAAACAGTGTTAGGGGGAAAATCCTTTCAGTGTGATTTCTCTGCTGTCTGGGAAGACAGACGAGGAGATACATCCTGAAGCTCTGACTGATTTCGAAAACTAAATCACAAGCAGAAAGTCCTGTAACATGTTTACTTATTAGCCTTCTTGAACAGTGCTGTAATGGCAAGAAGTTCCAAAGAGAGCCTAAGTAGTGGTTTCAGCCCACCCCCCCTTCTAGCTGCATGTTGTGCACTCTTGGTGCTTCCCCTGTGCAAACCTTGGTAGTCATTACACACTGCACTGAGCCATTTTAACATCAACAGAAAAAATGGCCCAACAAAGCACTAAAACTGGCTTGAGTTGTTCTGGTCTGAAGACAAGA